ATCACTGAAATTCTTGAACGCTAAATCTAACAGGACAACTGAGCTAAATTAAGTGATAAATGCTTTTGCTTGCAATTGCCTACAGGCACATTTCAAAACGCCAGGATTTCGATAAAGACCTTAAAAGTATTCTAGCTTTAAAAAAAAAAGGAAAGAAATGCCTCGTGCTTTTGCCAGCTGTGAATTACGATTCAATAACAGCCTTGCTTTTTTAATTTAATTTAATTTTTTTCTTACTATTTTACGACGTAAACACTAAGCAAACAGTTACTAATCAGCTGCAAAATTATATCAGGTTAACATGATATATGCAACGAAAACAATTGCATAAATCATATGCAACAGTGCCGCTGGATGCTATCGAACTGACTTTTAGCTAACTAGCACACTTCCATCCAAACTGGCGACTCTCTGAGCATTAACGCTGCATATCCTGAAAACAAAGCGCAAATGCAGCTTTATCTATTTTAAAATACTAAAACTGCGACAGTTCTGAGCAAACGTCAGCCAGTCTGCATCAAACTGACCAGTTAGCTTTCAGGGCTAACTCAGGTTAGCTCGGAGCTAATAACAAAAACAGCACGCGAATCAAAGTCCGCTGGTTACCTTTTCTCTGTCAATTGGCTTCTCTGGTTCTTTCTTTATTTCCTCCTGTGTGATCCGCGATTCAAGTGCCATTGCTACTTTTTAAATAATTTACTGCTTCAGTTAGGTGACTTGTGCCTCCGTGTTGGATAGTTCAGCTAGGCTGCAGCCAAAAATGAGGCGGATAGCATGTAGTTTCCGTTTCCCGTGTGCTTTCGTCCACCGCAGAATAAGTTACTGCCACCTTCTGGTCAGGGACGGCTCCAGATTTATTTTCACAGGAGCGGCTGTATGGAGGGCCATTAAAAATATTGGGTGGTACACCAAAAAGAGAATTAGCGGTTTTATTATGTTGTTGTCAAATATAAGTTATATAATACAGAAAGAAAAGAATTATATCCCTTGTTAATTTCCTGCTATTAAAGTTAATATCACTGAAAATAGGTACATATGAAAGCAAATACGATGACAATGGCAAAGCTAAAGTAGGTGCCCTTTTTCCTGGCCTCTGGATATACCTCCTTCACCAAGCTGGTCAGCTCTTTTAGTGTAGCATCCATCCTGAAACACATAAACACAATCAGAGACCAGCTCCAGTGTCCTTATTCAAAAAAAAAAAAAGAGAAGAAAAACGACACCCTTATCTCCTTAACTTTTTCACAATATTGTTTTTGTCTGTGGGAAAAATCCACCGTATATGAAAAGAGAGCCAGAGACAGGTGGGATATGACACAGAGAAAACAAACTGGACGATACATGAGAACTATAGCTCTAACTTAAAAAGTAAAGGGCCTGCAAATGTTTTTATTTAGTCCTCTTTAAACTATTTAGCCGATGTGCTTCCAATTATGTTAACCACGACTGCCAAATCAATCAACGTCCTCTGTCACCACAGCAACAATGCTATCACTGATCAGCGATGCTACAGGGAGATGGCCAGGAGCACTGATTTGAGAAAATTATCTAACCCCGAAGAGCATCATAACACTATGTTTCTGTTGTTTTACAAACTCAGCTTAAAACACTGGCAAATCCTCGACTCCAGCCAAAACACTCACAAAAAAACCAACTAACCAACCAAAAAAAAACAGTGACACATCCGTGATCTTACCAAGTGTATATCTGCAGTTCGCTGGAAGGAACATTTCCTCGAGCAAATTCATCGACTCTGTGGTGTCTCCCACTGTTGGTGGTGAAGACTCGCAGCAGAAGGGGGCAGGTCTGCAGCAAAGAAACATAATGATAATATTACTGAACAAATTCAGTTTACAATGGAAGAAACACAATGAAAACATTTGATTCATAAGAGATATAAAAAAATATTGATTTCAAATAATTCAGGTGTGTATTCTCTGTTATTTTTTAAATGACTACTAAGAAACCCTGCACAAAATAACAGAACCTGATACTAGAGCAGGGCGATATGACCAAAAATATTTATCACGATATA